TATATTACTGCATATAGTACCTAGGATCTTAATTAAAAATGTGATTTTTTTAAATTAAATAGTACTTACAGATACTAAATGAGAAACTAGATATTTTAAGGAGATACAATACACGGGGGATACTGTATATGAAGGTTACAATTACACAACTTTAATAAATAAATATCAAAAAAAAATTAAATTTATTTTCACTTCTTTAGTCACTTCTCATTATATACATGGTCTTCAATATATACTTCGTAAATATTAAGGAAAATTTAATACTTTTTCTTCCTTTATATAAAAATTATAGAAATGTTTAAGCAATAAATAGATTATAAGTTTAAATATAAAATTTTATTATATTTAAATATACAAGTGTATTATAATATATATATAAAACTGGTTAATATTTTATTAATAATATTAATTTTATTTAAATATATTAAGTTTAATACATATTTGCTATTAAATTTATAATAGATATTATATCAAATTATTAAATAGTAAGAATCTTTACAAAATATAAAAAGTGATTAACTAGTAATTAAACCAACTTTTACTAATTATGATTTCAAATTCAATATTTGAAAATTTAATTTAAAAAATAGGTTATTTTTTTGATTTGAATTTAAATTTGATTTTAAAATTTCAAGAATTCTTTTAAAAAAAAAAAAAATTTATAAAGAGAATTTTATTTTAGTAATTATTTTTTTAGAACTTTAATTACATTTATAAAACCATTTGATATTATGATTGAATGAGTTATTTAAAGACAATTATTATAATTTAAGTATAGAAAGTAATTATATTAAAAAAAACAATTGCTAAAAACCTTAGATTTGTAAATTAAATGAAAAGTTATGCATATTTGGGATTGTGATCATAAATTCCTTTTACAAACTTGTTAAATATCAAGTTATTTTAGATTCTGTTGATAAAATAAATTATTAAATAATATTATTACATTGCATTTATATTTTCAGGTTTCCATAACATTCATTAATCAAAATACAGGGTTTATTTGTTAATATAGTTTGTGTTACTCCTATTTTCTATAAAAATAATTTAAATTAATGAACCGAAAATTATTTGCCGCAATAGTTTTCTTTTCTTTTATTCAACAATAAAACAATAATACATAATTAATTATTGCTTGAAGGTTATCTTTTCCTTTCTTTCATTTTATACTCTCCTTTTATTAAGGTCATAATTTATTAATCACACGCAAAAAAAAAAAGAATATTGAACCAACTTTATATTAAGAATAAAGAATTATACATATAAAAAAAAGATTAAGGAGCAAACGTAACAAAAGAAATGCCTCCATTTTTTTTTTTAATATATATATATATATATATATATATATTTAATACGCAAATATTACATATTCTTTTTTTTTTAAATTAACGATAAAGCAAACAAAAAAAAGAGGAAATATAAGTCCGATAACACCAACACATACATGACTTATTTGTAATAGTTACCTAACGCAAAGTTATTCCAGATTCTTGGTTTATTGAACAATTCACTCAGAGATAGTTTATCAAAGGCAGATAGATTAAATATACCTACTAATAAATCGAATAGGAATATAATATAAAATAGTTCCTAATGATTTCGTCCTTGCCAATATATTTTCTCTCTCTTAAAACTCAAAATCACCATTGCCTTTCTGGAAGAGGTAATCACGTCCATTCACTGACATGATACCATCTTTCAATTGGCACTTCCATTTATTCTTTGTACGAGTAACCTAAAAAAGATGTTGCGATATTGAAAGATTTTTATAATGAATAAACGTAACATAATCATGGGATCTTCTACCCATCTTTGCCGACATGTTCTTTTTAATATTCGTTACATCGCGACGACATCGTCTCAATATCATATTGATACTTTTATTTATTTTTACCTTGTCATATAAACATAAAATAATATTTTGTGTTTCTTCACCCTCGGCATTGGTTTCTTCATCTGAATCATCAAGATCAGAATTAATATCATCACTTTCCGCATATGGTCGACTGAACTCGGGGAGGTGTTGTGGAGTCGGATGACTTATAATGTTATTATTAACGTTACGAGGAATGAGCTTATCGAGATTTTGATTTTCCTTTGCATGTGAATGGAATGGAATTACGTATAGAAGATGATTCTAATAAAATTCTGACGAATTAAATGTCATCAACTTAATAAACATTTCACATACCTGTAAACCCTTCGAATGTGGGCCCTGAGAGAACATAAACTTTTGATCTAAAGCTTTATTTGATGACGCGTTTGCTACTAATATTAGTATAAGGATCACAGGTGATAATTAGCGAATGACATTATAATTACCATCAGGTTGAATGTTTATAGGCATCGCTGAGCTGCTTCTGTTCGAAATATCGGGTGAAGCAGATGATGGAGGAGCCAGTGATACATGTACCAGAGATGTATTAACATTAACATTTTTGATAGGCTATTTTAGTGATAAATTTATTTGACGATTCACTAACGAATAACTAACGAATAACAGTAAAATGAATAAACAAGAAAATATCAAAAAAAGTTCAAAACATACATTATGTGGAGGCCTGCCTACACTGTTAGGATCGGAATGAGTATTTGAAATCGCACGGCTTGGAAGAGATGCGACTGATACGTCACCAGGTTGATACTAGATTGAAATTGGGTTGAATTGATTTTAATGTTCAAATTTGGATACAAAATACATTAAACAACGAATTTACCTTTTGATTGGAATCAGATTGAGGCGGCGGATGCTGATGATGAGAAATATTTGTAACGTCACTGTTTTGATTGATGTCATCATTTGATAACCCGTTGGTCCCCGCTTCCCAAAGTGCAACTTTTGCGTTTCTAATCTTTTTGTCCCATATCTAAACGAAATGGGTAATGATAATTAATCTAATAAAAACAAATGGATGTATTAGGGGATAGATGATAGAAAAGGATCTATAATACTAACGCGTTCTAGTTCCATTAAAACTGATTCATCGACACCATTATCTTCAAAGTCTTTTTTCACATTTTGAATGACATCCTTTATTACGCCACTGTACACATTAGGCTATAGAGACCAATAGATTAAATATATTAACGCGAGACCACATAATTTCTTTTAACTTGAAAAAAAAAAGTTACGCGACTTGTACGAGAGCCAAATTTCAAGTGTTTAAATGGTTTCAAGGTGAAATAAAGTAAGACATACCACAATAGAGTTAGACATCATTGCTCTAGTTAAATGAAAAATAAAACATAAAATAGGGTGTATGATAATACTTTAAAATCTCTAAAGTGTATTTTAATGTAATGGTTAAAAAAGTGACTTCAACGCGAATAGTAAATTCGAAATAAAAAAAAAAAAAAAAAGTTCGAGTTTTGGAGCTTATATAGGGTTTCCAAAACTTTCAACCTTTTTATATCAGTAGAGGTCTATTTATACCCTTTGATGCAAGAGGATGGAAGAAAAGGGACTGCTTGAAAAAAAAAAAAGAGGGGTGACCTTTTTTAACAATAAGTAAATTCAAAGCATGCATTGTTGCACAGTCACACACACATCGTTTTCAATTCCAAGCTAGACAATTGGTCATTTTCTTATTTAAGAAGGACACCAAGTTTTTTTTCCCAGAAAATCCAGTTTATAATACAAAAAATATATCTGAAATTTTCCCGTCGATGACGTAATCATTTTTTAAAAAAAATATAAATATGCCATAAAAATGAAACAATTTAATCACTACTTTTTCGATGGGGTACGCGAGTTTAGATGCATCACTTTCGTTTCCTGATGATAATCTTCTACCGAGTAAAAGATCGATCTTAATAACGGACACCCTTTCAGCTTCAGGAAATTTTCTCATTCACCATTTCATAGTTAATCAATTAAAATCCGATAAACATGTAGTACTAGTTGGCCTTTCTCAAATTTTTAATCACTATTTAACAATTGGTCGTAAATTGGTACAAGTCATTTATTCCTTTTTTTTTTTTTTGTCTTTTTCTTAAAAAAAATATTTCTTTTTGTTATTTATTTATTTAGGAATATATTTATAATTGTTCTTTATATAAAATAGGGAGTAAATTTAACTCTCGCCACTCAAAAAGGCGCATTATCTTTTATAGATGGATTAACTTCATTATATTCACAAACAGATGGTTTTTCAAAATCCACTTCTACAACGATAACGAAACCAACAGCCGTGTTAACTTGTTCAACTAGAACCAGTTCAATGTCAACTTCGCCAATTTCAAAAGAATTATTACAAAACTTTTATAAAGTGATTAAACAAACGATTGTAGCTCGTCATTCATCAATTGATGATACACGCGTATGTTTGATTTTTGATGATTTATCAATCTTGTTATATGCAGGATTTAATGTGAGGGATATATTAGAATTCGTTAAAGCTTGTCGTATGTTGATCGAAAAGGTAATGATAATCGATACCAGTAATCAGTTTAAATAAGTGTTTATTTCATTTCACTTCTTTCCTCTTTTTTTTTTTTTTTTTTTAGTATAATGGGTCATTAATAATTTTGATTCACGCGGATGAGGATGTATCACCATCCTCAATTGATGATGAGTTGGATCAAGAGATTTTTTTAAAGTCTTTGATATATCAATCGGAATATTTATTATCAGTTCGTGGATTAGGATCCGGTTTTTCAAGAGATGTATCAGGCGAAGTAGGTGCTATGATAAACATCAAAATTTTCTTTAAAAATTTTATCAAGGACGTGAAATATAAAAAAGAACCTTTTTCCTTTATTCAAGATTACGATAGCTCGTGGACCAAAAAATCAGGATAAATGGTTTAGACCTTCAACATTACATTATAAAGCATTAGATAATAATGTTCAATTTTTTGCAAAAGGATTTTCACAGGGTGTACTGTGAAAATCATTATTAATTATTAAAATGTAATCGGCTCTTGAAAAATAAATAATTTATAAATAATGTATTGAAATGTAAAATGTTCTTGAATGATAATAATGATTTAATTAATTAACTATGCCCAAGCCCTTTCCTTTCCCTTAGAATCTTTGGAAAGGATAATAAAATCTTCAATTACATCTTCTATAAGTTGAGAATGAGGTAAATTATTGATATCTTATTATTTTTATTATTAAAGATAGAAATGAATAATAAAAACATACCCAAACCCGTATCAGAGATGGCGAAACTTGATTGTCCTGTTTCTATAGGTGGGACAAGAGACAAATAATAAATAAATATTTTTTTTTATTTTTGAAATCGTTTTTGATACAAAATAATTTACCTTCACCAAAATCATCAGAATTTGAAGTATTACCGGCCGTAAATGAATTATTAGAATTAGAAGAAATGGATAATCTATTAAAGGAAAAATCCAATACCCTACTAGTATAATAAGCTTCAGGATGAATATTTGTCGTTAATGAAGATTCCTTTCTTGATTGTAATTTCTTTCTCACAACACCTCTCAGACCGCCAACTTTAATAACGTTTCTATTCGTTTTAGCAACTTTTTTCGTAATTCTTTCGGAAATCATCGATAATCTATTTTTAGAACATTCTTGATGTTCGACAACTTTCATGGTTTGTTCACTATATTTTAAATATAATTGATTCATATCTAAAATACGAATGATTTCAATCGCATTCGGTCTTAATGACGGATCATCCTCCCAACATCTTTCCATTAAATCAAAATAAAATTCTGGAGTTGTGGGTAAAGGATCAGGACGTGATCCTTCACATATGTCTAAAGCTAATTCCAAATTATGAGCTCTATCAAAATATGGTAAAGAAAATGTTGACAATTCCCACATGATCATACCAAAATTATAAATATCACTCGCTTGTGATTTTTTCTCGCCTCTTAAAATTTCTGGAGCAATATAAGGTAAAACACCATGTATTAAATTATTATCGTTATAGTTGGAAGATGAAGAAGAAGGAGGCTGTAAATATTTTTGAGAATTTTTTAAAAGATTAGAAGGTATCCAGCATCCTAAATCTCCTATTAAAATTGATTCTTCGGTTTGTTTTTTCGATTCAGAACTTGTATTCTTTAATAGATTACCCGGATGCAAATTACCATGAAATAATTTTTCACCTTGCAAGGATTTTTCATTATGTAAAGATTTAATCACTTCCGCTATAGATTTAAGTATATTTATTTTTTCATTCCATGTTAATAAATCATTATTATTATTATAATATTTTGTAAGAATAAATGTGCGTAAGTCTAATTTATTAGCAAATTGTGTTACTAAAATGTACTCTTTTGTGGTTGGATCTTGTGAAATTCCAAAATATCCAACTAAAATTTCTCGATTTTTACATTGATAATACTTTTTCATCTAGGAAAAAAAAAAATTTAAGTTAAAAAAATTTTTTTTTTTTTTTAAAAAAAAAAAAAGCGTCATTAAGAGAATCGCTTACATCATTTAAAAAATCTTCGGTGATTTCCTGAGAATCGTGTAATAATTTAAGGGCAACTTTGGTATTTCCTATTCGACACCACTGTTTATTTAAAGGATCAAATTTTCTTTTTGGGCCTTCAGTCCAAGTAGCTTCAAATACGGTGGAAAAACCTCCTTTGCCAATTTCTTTTATATCAATGAATTGTTCAAATGGTATCCATTCTAAATATGTTTTATAATCTGGTGATATTTCTTGCGTATAAATAATAAATTCATCCAATAACTTGTTGCCTGTAGTCCACTGCTCTCTACCGGGGAAAGCACAATTACGACACCATTTATAAGAAACAAATGGGCAAGTACAATAAACGCATTTACCAAATCGTATATTCGTATTCGAGGCAGAACTGGAGGCTGTGTTAGTAATGGTAGTAATGGTGGTGGTGGTAACTGTAGGAGGAGAAGGTAAATTTCTGGTTTGAGTTTGAGAGGAAGTTTTTGGAAATGAAGAAAGTTCATTCGAAGAGGAAGCAGCAAGATAAGAAGTAGTGCAACCCATTCTCTCTTTTTTTTTTAAAAAAAATAAAAAAATTTTCTTATAAGGTTAAATAATTATCGCGAAAAAAAGTAAGAAATAGAAAAAAAAAAAAAAAAAAAAAAAAAAAAAAAAAAAAAAAAAAAAAAAAAAAAAAAAAAAAAAAAAAAAAAAAAAA